GGTGCAGGAAGTTGGCAAGACCTGGCTGAGACTAAGTCGCCTGCTGGATGAGCATAATCAGGTACGAAGCGATACTCCGTGTAGAGAGGATCTTGTTATAATTCTAAATATATGGATACCTGATTAGCAAAAAAGTATTTCCTAAAAGTAATGTTCGGGGTTGATATATGACTAGCAATATCTTTCGAGTATCAGTATCTTATGAGATAATATGATAGATTTTCCCTATCCACAACCTACAAAATGTTTCCTTCGACATCTTAAGTTGTTGCCTTTTTTCATTCTTTTCCAGACATTCGAGCAAATAATGCATGGCCGTTTCTCCATCTTCCTTGCCGAGATCATGTGCCTTCTGTATACACTGGCGACGTTATCGCATACCAAGAATATGCCCCTGGCCCTTATTCTTCCCTTGATGGAGAGTCTGACGCTCGCAATGACGCTGAGCTTGGTCGGAGAAAAAATGAGACAAATAGTAGGTATCTACGAAGTGAATATTCGTGCTCTAAAGAGAAGTAAGAAACACAGATAGTTGTTATTTTATTTTTCTGTATGATTTTTTTTCTTTACAATACTGAGTAATATATATATATATATATATATATATATATATATATATATATATATATATATATATATATATATATATATGTGTGTATGTATATATATAATATTTGTTAATTTATTTATGGTTTTAATACAAAAGAGTCACTTGGCATTTCTTGTCCCTTTTTACAGCAGGAGAGCATCATCGGGAATCTTTGTCAGGTGATGCTCGACTTGAGCCACACCGCTGACCCTCTCCCCTGTAGGGCTAAGTATAAGGCTAAAGCACGACCCTGTTTGGGCGATCACCAGAACCCCGGTAAGCGAGATGCGATGCCGTGTATAAGGATTTCTGGTGAAACGCGCTTGGACATGGGTTCTCGTCAGGAAAGAAGGCTCAGAAACGGACCAAACTTCATGGATGATAGGGAGGTGAAGTGTGATGAAGGAACGAAAGAGAAGTATGATAAAGATGTTGAAATGAAAGGAGGCGAAGATTCAGAGCCCAGACACGGTTCAGATATCGAAGTGAAAGACAGAGGCAGAGATAGAGAAGGATTCACGGAGGTTAGAGACACAGAAACGACTGCACATTGGGAGAAGCAGAAAGAAACCCGTATTGCATCGCCCTGCCAAGATGCGAACGTGAAGATCGAGTTGAAAAGCTGTCAAGAAGAGGAAATAAAGCAAGGCCAGAGCCTGGGAAGGAACCCCGGAAGCAAGCAGCGGTGGAATGACTGTGGCCCGCAGTGCGGATGTTGCCAGTACCACCTCAACAATATTATCACACGTATGGAAGCCAGGCCAGCGGTTATCAAGATCTGGGGTCAAGCGAGGTATGTTCTTTATATATTCATGTTACATACGGTTTATTTAGTGCCAGTATATGCATATAGAATGCCAGCAGTGCCAGTTCAGGATGTGCCACATTATAGTAATAGATTTTCAAACAATATAGATTTTAGGCATAATTGGCCCAATACAGTGTCTAGATCACTGTTACTATGAACGCATTGTTTTATATGAACTTAGCCTATAGATTTTATAGTATCCTTTACGTGCAGTATTCATTGGCTAAGTCGAGTTTACCGGAAACAGCAGACTTCCATTAATACAGATGTATTACCGTTAATAAAATCCTAACATGTACTTTCAGCCTGGGTCGGGAGTCCTTCGTGTACTTGGCTGGCCTCGTGATGACGTACCTGGTGATTCTCCTGCAGCTGCGGCCGAATCAAGTTCCTTAAGGCACAGCGGTTTCATGATGCAAGATATACCATTTGCCTTCGTTGTGGATTCATTCATTCATCCCCCACTCGTACGTTTTTTGTGTCAGTAACAGTGAAAGGTTTTCAGCCTCGCGTCCTCTTTGACTCTTGGTTCTGTGTATACCTTCAGTGTATTATGAAAATGAGGGATTAAAAAAATCACTGTCTTTTATGTGCATTTAATAACGGGTTAATGTAGTATGGCTGTGACGTTTTACTGACAAAAACGTTTTTTTACAATGATGATTTAATGAAGATGAAATAAAAAAGTCAAAATGTAGGAGTTAAAAGTTTATAATGATAAAAACAAAACAGTAACGATAACAGTCAACATTTTTCAGGGATGTCTGTATGATAATATGAGTGTGAAAGTAATGTTGATATTAATGATGGCGATGATTGTAGTAATATGATAATGATGAAACTGCTACTGTTATAATTTGTAGAAATGAAGATGATAAGCATGACAGTTTTAACAGTGGTAAGAATAAATAAAATGTTTGCACAAATATATTTACATTTTTTTGTACCGAGTTAATATTTTATTAAAAGTCTTTGGACCCTCTTCCATTTAGCACTTCAAAACCAAGGGCAATAATTAAAACAGTATTAAGCCACACCCAAGCTCACATTCAGTCAGACTTTACCTTTTTCCTGAACAAACACAACACACATTTGAGCAAAGG